TAGTTTAAGCATCACTCAGGAAAGAATGATCCTGAGACTTTATAGCAGAAGTCCTATAAAATAATTACTATTCAATGTGGCACGAAGTTATAAGTATACATAAGGGTTCAGTTTGGTAAATTAGTGCAGAATTTTTTTTCTTTGCTCTGTTTTTTATTTTGAATTTGAGTAATTGTTTTATTTCATATTTCATCCCTTTAGTTTTCCTCTTGTTGTGAGCTTATCAATTTGTGGGCTTGCAGCATGCAATTGTCGGAAGAAGTAATTATCAATTTCTGTATAATTTGGGAAATATCGTATAGACAAAAGAGATCCTGTTGGTGTTTATTTTGTTCTGTGTGTGTGTATCATTACTCTTTGAGATCCTTGCTCTAGCATATCTTAAAGGTGCAGATTGTTTCTTCAATTCTGTTTTACTCTTCTTAGTTGTAAATTTATGTTTCATTATTGTCTTGTCTTTTGGTTTTTCTTTTCCCTGTCTCTATGCCGCTTATCTATAATTTGGTTTGTTTGTAATTCGCTTATATACCTATTATTTTCTTTTGTGCTTATATATAATGTCTTTGTTGCAATAAGATGGCAAAGAAGAATAGTAACTTCACCACAACTGAAAGTGTTGCAAGTGGATCTCGAAAATTGTCAGCATTGTGGAATGCTCAAATTATATCCATCTTCATTGACCTTTGTATCAAGGAGGTGGATTTAGGCAATCGTCCTGGTACTCACTTTAATAAAGTTGGATGGGCAAGATTGGTTACAAATGTTAGTAAAGAGATAGGAAGACCATATGAAAAATTACAATTGAAAAACAAGTGGGATTTACTGAAAAAAGAATGGAAATTGTGGAAAGATCTAAAAGGGAAGGAAACTGGTCTTGGGTGGAACGTTGCTAAGAATACCGTTGATGCATCTGATGAATGGTGGCAAGATAAAATTCAGGTATTTGAATTTTTTGTTCTTGTTTTAATATAGTATTGATATCCATGTTTTTTTTCAAACTTTGTTTAAAAATTCATTATAATATTTGTATATGTCATAATGCAGGCAGAACCCAAATATGCAAGATTCCAATTTGAGGGTATTAGTCCTGAGATGGAGGAGAAGTTAGATAGGATGTTTTTGAACGTCACTGCCACTGGTAAGCATTCTTGGGCACCTTCATCTGGTGTACTTCCAGTTGAAAGTGATGATGATATCAATCCATTTGAAGTTAACGGTGATTCGAATGAGTCTGTGCCAATTGAAAGCACTCAAACTACAAACAATGTGCCAAGAAAGAGAACTAATCAATCACTTGAAATTCAAGATAATAATGAGAAGAAAGGTAAAGGAGGGGGGAAAATGGGAGGTGCTGCAAAATTATCACTGCAAATTGAACGTCTTGTTGAGGTGGTTGAGAGTAGGAGTACTGGAACATCAATGGCTAATACAGTTTCACAAGGAACTAGTATTGCTGAAGTGATGAAAGATATTGCAACTTTACCTGGGGCAGAGCGTGGTAGCAAGTTATGGTGGTTTGCAACTAAATTGTTTTGTGCTCAGGAGAAGAGAGAGATGTTTGTTGTCATGGAAGATCCTGACCTCAAGCTTCAATTTCTTAATCATGAGTTAGCTGAAGGATAGAATTTGCTAGTTTGGTGACTTTAATTTATGTTTTGTTTTTGTGTTGTTAATTTTTTTTGAAATTGTGAGTGATATTTGAATTAATGTTGGATGATCTTTTATTTGAATTTGTGGGTGATATTTTAATTCTTGTCATTATATTTTATGTTATATAAGCATACATGCACAATGAAAGTGATATTTGAAGGAAATAAACACATTTGCAGGTTATTTTAGAACATGGCCATTCCAGAAGATGAGGCGGAGATCAACCAAATTATATGTGTCACTGCACGTCTTATTGAACTTTATTATGTGAAATATATTCACAAGACCCCGTGTATGAATGACCATCATACAGGAAATATTTGGTTGATGGGAGTGTTACAAGGAAATGAAAGTCGTTGCCATAATATGTTTAGGATGGACAAAGATGTATTTATAAGATTGTGTGATGAATTGCAAAAAAATTATGGATTAAATGGTTCAAGAAGAATGAGTGCTGCTGAGATGTTAGGGATGTTCTTGAACATCTTAGGACATGGTTCTGCAAATAGGCAAGCACAGGATCGCTTTCAACATTCTGGTGAGACTGTGAGCAGATATTTTGGTATCTTACTTGATGTTGTATGTCGTTTGGCTGTAGATGTAATTAAACCATTGGAAAATGCGTTTAACAACACTCCAAAGGAAATCCTACAGGATTCTAGATATATGCCTCATTTCAAGGTAACTATTGCATCTGCTACTCTTAAATATTGTCTATGTTTTATTATGTTATAATTATTATCAAGCATGTCTTTTTATCTCTTGTAGGATTGTATTGGTGCTATAGATGGTGTTCATGTCCAAGCCATAGTATCTCCTTCTAATCAAATACCATTTATTGGTAGAAAAGGGATACCTACCCAAAATGTGATGGCTGCATGCAATTTTGACATGCAATTTATATTTGCATGTGCTGGATGGGAAGGCACGGCTCATGACACAAGGATATTTCTATCGGCTTTACGTGATCAAAGTTTGAATTTTCCTAAACCTCCATCTGGTATTATTTCTATCTAAAGAAAAAAATTCATATAATTTATATTTAAGTTTTTAACATTGTGAATAATCAATTAAATTTCTTTTTTAGGAAAATATTATCTAGTAGATGCGGGATACCCACAAATGAGAGGCTACTTAGGACCATATAAAGGTGAAAGATATCATCTTCCTGATTTTCGTAGGGGTGTTCAACCGATGGGTCATAAAGAGGTATTCAATCATGCACACTCTTCCCTTAGAAGTGTTATTGAACGCACTTTTGGAGTATGGAAAAAGAGATGGAGTATTTTACGAGACATGCCTAGTTATCCTTTTGCAAAACAAGTAAAAATCGTTATTGCAACCATGGCACTTCATAACTATATAAGAAGACATGCCAAACGTGATTGTCATTTTGATGAAAGTGAAGATGACCTAAATAGTATTCAAGGTGAAGAAATTGAGATAGAGGTTGATGCACAACAAGAAGATGGTCCTGCAACACAAGAAATGGAGGCATTGAGAAATCATATAGCCGCAAGTTTAATGAGTTCATCTACATAGAAATGTATATGATTGCTTGTTCATGACTAGCTTAGTTTTTGTTATGACCATATTTTTTACAATATATTTGTTTTCAATGGAAACTTTATTTATTTTATAATTAAAACAAAATTTAGGGTGTGATGGAAACATATTTAATATAAAAAAAAAATAATTTATATATAAGATAAAATAAAAGTGCTTTTCCTTTTACCAAATTTAAACAGAAAAGCCAATTCAAGATAATACCCTTTTTAGTCATTATACACTGCTCACAGCACTTTCATAAAAAATTTACCAAACACTCAGAAACTGATTATTGTACAAACAGCACTTATAAAAAAAAGTTTACCAAACGCCAAACTGCTTTCTCTCACAGTAGATTTCTCTCACAGCAAATTTGACAGCGATTATTTTCACAGCACAGCAATGCCAAACTGGCCCTAAGTGTAGGGCCAAATAGCCCAAAACTAATCTAAGTGAAGTGTAGTGGCCAATAAGCCAATATGCTAAGTGTAGAAGGCCAATTAGCCTACACTAAGTCATGTACTATTCTCCTCCAATATAATAAAATCACTTTGTTGTTTCCCTTATAAACTAACACATATATTGTCAGAGAAAGATAATTCAAATGAAGCCAGACTTGATTTTGGATCACATCATTAAAACTATTGCAGTATCAGTCACTTTCTCTCAGCCATAAACATAGAATAGAGATCAACAGTATCAGATTAAATTTAACTTTAAATAAGGAAGCAGTAGAATCATGTTACCCAATCAAGAAGATAAAAGCTTTTTTCCTTTCCTCTGTAAGTGGTGTTGTTCCTCCCACTAACAATTTCCAATACAAGAATTCCAAAGCTATAAACATCTGCTTTATCAGTCAGATAACCCCGCATTACATATTCAGGCGCCATATATCCACTGCAAAAAATCGCTCATCATTTCCCCATATTTAGCTTAGCAAAATACTAAAATACTTCAAAGTTTCTTTAACAGTACAGATTTGGTTAAGTTTGAAACTTATACAAGGTAGAGAAACCTCCATCTATTTCCTATTTCTATGGACCCATCGTCGGGGTGGAAGAAATCAAAATAAAAGTATAAGAAGAAAAAAAATAGCACAGGAACTCACTAAGTTCCAGCAATACGGGTGCTAATATTGTTGAAATGTAAGTAGTGAGCTGATAGGAAATGGAATTAAGCCTGGTCAGCTAATGGTGTATTCTCTCAGTCAATAAAAATGACTGGTGTTAGGCTTTAGTAGTAAAAAGTTTATAAGCCACGTGTAATGTTTTTATTAAGCAGTTATAGATGAAGGGCTGAGATACAAAGTGATGTAATTGTATCCAGCTAGACATATAGCTCACAGATAGCGTGCTCATTCAATATACACAGCACAGTGCAATAGAAGAAAACATATACGATTTGATTCATTCTCTGCTTTCTTTTATCTCTGCATTCTTTCTTCTCTCTCAACCTATTCAAAACTCTAACAAATATGTGTATTATCCTCTTCATCAAGCTTGGCCAATCCAAAGTCAGATATCTTTGGGGTAAGATTTTTATCAAGTAGCACATTAGTAGCCTTGATGTCTCTATGAACGACCTTCAATCTTGATTCCTCGTGGAGGTAAGCCAAACCTCTTGCTCTACCAACACAGATCTTGTGCCTTGTTGGCCAATCCAACTTCAACTGACTTTCTTCTTGCCCTTCAATTTGTCAAATTACTCAAAGTTAGTTATAAGGGACATCTTTGTTATGTATAAGATCTTTTATACCCATCTGCATGAACCAAATGAAGTTTAGGCAAACAAGTAATATTTACCAAACAAAGCACGAGCAAGGCTATTATTTTCCATATACTCATAGACAAGCAATAGTTGATTTCCTTCAATACAGCATCCGTGAAGCTTGACAAGATGAGGGTGTTGCAGAGCAGAAATCATGCCTATCTCATTCACGAATTCACGATTCCCTTGCTTTGATTTGGAAGAAAGCTGCTTGACAGCAATTACGGTGCCATCTGATAGAAGGCCCTGCATTTGAGAAACAAAGTCAAAATCCCTTCACTAAAAAGTAGAGCAACTTTATATAAGAATGCTTACAATTAGTCAAGTTAGCCCAACAGCAATAAATAAATAGAAATATTGGTTCCGCAGAATACCTTGTAAACAGATCCAAAACCACCTTCTCCAATCTTATTGGCTTTGTCAAAGTTGTTTGTGGCAGCTTTGAGTTGCCTGAAGCTAAATTTACCAGTTTGCAGGTCCACGCCCTTTAAATCTGTGTAAGAAGCAAACTCATATAAGAAATTGTGTCTACACGAATTTCATATTAGTAGCATTTTTATTTCTTAATATCATGCGACTGATTCAAGGCCTAGAATTTAACAACTGGATCTGTAGGTAGGCACACTTCGCATCAAAGGTTTCAACAGTATAATATATTCTAGCAGCATCAATCAAGGCGTCAGAAAGTTCAATATCTAAATAAATATACTGTGCGTACCATCCTCCAAAGTATTTTGTTGTCCTAGGAGGCCTCTCCTCCAAAGAACACCAAAAATCAGTAATATAATGAAGACTCCTCCAGCCACAATTCCAACTACTGCACCTACAGATATGCCACTTCCACCAGGTACATAGTCGGCTGGAAGAAGAATAGCTTTATTACAGTAAATGCAAATGTAATGGGTAAGAAATGCACAAAGAAAAAAAAGATTCAACGGAATTGCATGCACTGTCTTGGGAAACGTTAAGTAGATAGTAAACGAAATTGTTCCGCTGCCATGTAAATATTATATGTTTGCTTAGGTGAAAAGGACAGTTTTAATGTAAAAAATAAAAAATCCTTGAAGTTGCATTTAAAAGCACATACCAGTCCCATACAAAGAACTGCATTAATCAGTTATGTGATAGGAAATTTGAATAGAGAACATTTCTTCAAGACTTGATTCGAACTAGGTAAAACAGAAAGAAAGGGGGAAAATACATAGATGCATTTCTGTGGCAATACAAGGGAAAAAATTATGAAGACTTAGAGCTCCAATGATGGGGTGCAATCAATTTATTGAGCACCATACAGTCCTGATCAGTTCCCCTGCAGAACTAAAGGCGGATCTCTTAATTGTGTTGAAATATTAATGCCTAACATGATATTTACATATGAGAAACTCCCAATGGTCTAAGTAGTAATTAGAAGAAGATCATAACAGTGTAAACTTACCATTTTTTACAGAAATAGCTGATATAAGAGGACCATAAACTCCTCTAAGAGGGATACCGGTCGTCCCTTTCCCAGCCCAATAGAAACGGATCTCCAAGGTACCATTAGTTACACGAGCAGTATAGTTCATTATGACTGCAGTACCAACCCCACCAGCTTTATCCACAATATTGAAATCCTGCTCCACTAGTCTCCCCTGCAATATCCTAGTTTTGTTACATAACATTTCATGATCGTAATGTTGTTTACAAGTTATTACTAGAAATTCATAAACATTTGAATTGACCAGGAACTAAACAGTGTCTGTTGACCTTTACCTGAATGTAAACATCAAATATACGCCTTCCCAGGCTTTTATATGATTTGTTATTTGTAAACTCTGTCTCTGCAAAATGGAGGTTTACAAAGTAGTTTCCATTTCTCAGACAAAACCCATAGTAAGTTAGAGAGATGGGAGAGAGGCGTGCATGCGTGTACAGTTCTGGGTTTGCCATAGAGAGTATAGATTTATTAGTTTGGATGAAGGTGTCTTCAGGATGGTCATCATCAATAAAGTAACCAGTGCTGCTTAAAGCCCAATTTGGTGAGGTTTGGCGAAATGAAGAAGGTCCAGCCCAATCTTTGTCATCATCAAACTTGAACCCATTAACAGTTACTGCTTCTCCACCACAATTTATACGGAATTCGTACCCAGCTACAACAGAAAGCAAAAGGGGATTAGTGGCCATACAGAGAGATTTCTTCTTTCTCTTCTATTTCATTTCAAAGGAATTGTCAGAGGATTAGTCGACATCTTAAGCAAAGGACTATGGGCATATCTTGAAGCAATATGTGGAAACCCAACTTACTTTGTGGACATTTTGGAATTTCCAAACATGTAGTTTTTCTGAGACGAGAATGCAGCAGGATCCAGAAGAAGTCAGCAAGATAACATCATAAATGAAAATAAGTTGTATAATAAAAATTAAGAATACACAGTTGGAATGCCAAGTAAATTTATCTACGCATGTTTTCAGAGGATTAATTTGTAACTTACGAACTACTGGCATCTGAAAAGCTTTCAAACAAGTTCCTGTAGAAATTAACAAAAATTGAAAAATTGGTTACAAGACACAAACACAGTAAACTCAAGCTAATGAAGACATTCTTACAGGTTGCTGCGTTGTGATGGACAACCTGTAGCCCCTATGGTGAATTTGTTATATGAAAGATCACTGCACAAAAATTTCCAAATGCAGCAGTTTGAGAATAGAAAATAAAATTTCCAAATGCAGCAGTATGAGGTAGGTATTTGTTAGCGAGATCCTAGCTTAATTAGGAGATTTATTTCCCAGTCTATTGGGACTCTATTTCTTTCCATTTTTTACAAATATTGTCTAATTAGGATTTTATCTTATTTCCTTATATAACCCTACTAGGGTTATAACCTTGTATTATAAATACCTCCTTTTGGAGAATGAAATATATTTGAAAATATTCTACCCATATTATTTGACTTAGTATCAGAGCCGACTTTCTAGTGACCTATGTGTTGTGCCCACCCGTGTTCTAGCCCTATATTTTTTTCTACCTGTGCCGTGTGTGCCCTCATGGGTTTGTGTGTTGTATTGTAATATTCATGCCTCTAGTATGTTCATGTCATTCATGTCTTTGTGCATCTGCTGTATTTATGCCTCTACTGTGTTCTGCTGTGTACTCTGTCGTGTTCGTGCATGTCTTCGTGCATCTATCGTATTTGTGCCTATGCTGTATTCCACTGTGTACTCTATCGTGATCTGTTGAGTTTCTGCTACAATCACGGGTGATAACTCCATTGTTGGTGTTGTTCTGTTGCTTCTGAAAATTTGTGTGTTTCTGACTATATTCCAGGTACTAGTTCCAATACTTGGATAATTGACATTAGTGCTTCTGATCATATGACTTACGATGCTAAATTTTTTGATGAGTTGTCTTGTAACACCCGTGACTCATACATAACTAGTGCTCTCCAATTACTGGTGAGGGCACAATCTCTCTCACTCATACTCTGTCTTTGTCTCGTGTGTTACTAGTTCCCAATATCCATTATAACTTGTTATTTGTTGGTCGATTACTTGATACACTTCATGCTTCTGCTATTTTCTATCCTACACATTGCTCTTTTCATTATCTCAAGACTCACGAGACGATTGGGTGGTAAACAGATAAGGGTGGTTATATTATTTGACATTGCATTCTGCACCAGTTTGTGATCGTGTCGTTAGTACTGTTCAAATTTGTAGTGTCAAAGACAAACAACAAATTTGGTTATGGTATCATCGCTTGGGACACATGTCGTTTGGCTACTTTCAGCGTCTGTTTTCCATCTTTATTCTGCTCTTGTGATGAGTCAAGTTTTAAGTATGAGACATGTATTTTGGCCAAGAGCCATCGCACTGTGTTTCCTTTGAGTGACAGTAAAGCTGCAAAACCTTTTGATTTAGTGCATTATGATGTGTGGGATTTGGCTCACGTTACTTCGAACGAATTTCGTTGGTTCATCACATTTTTTATGATTATACCTGACTTACTTGGGTTTTCTTGCTGAAAAATAAACATGATGTTGCTTACATCATTCCAGAGTTTTATACTATGGTGTCTACTCAATTTCAAGCTTGAGTCAAAGTATTCTGGATTGATAATGGAGGAGAATATGTGAATAATACTTTGGCTTATTTCTTTCGTGCTCAAGGTATTTTTTACCAAACAACAACCTCTTATACTCCTCAACAAAATTGTGTGTCTGAAAGAAAGAACCAACAATTGCTTGAAGTTGCCCGCTCACTCATATTGGATATGTATGTTCCCCATCATCTTTGGGGGCATACTGTTCTGTCTGCTGCCTATTTGAATAATCGTATTCCTAGCCGAGTTCTTGATTTCAAGACTCCGCATGATGTGTTTAGTGAATATGTTTCCCCTGTCTCCGTCTCCAAGTCGCCCCCTAAAGTTTTTGAGTGTGTTGCCTATGTTCATGTCTACTCTCATAAACGGAGTAAACTTGATCCTTGTGCTCTACGTTGTGTATTTATTTGCTACTCTTCTACTCATAAGGGTTATAAGTGCTATCATCTATCTACCAAGAAGGTGCATGTTACTTTGGACGTGACTTTTCATGAAGAAGTGTCTTATTATGTTTCTCTCTCCTTTCCAATTCAAGGGGAGATGAGGAGTGAATTAGAGAGTCTTGGATTAGAGAATCTTGAACTTAAATTGGAAAATGATGTGTTTGAAGATACTGCTCTCCGGAAGGAAACAACCGGTCGCACTGAAGCAAGCCACCGGTCACCCATATTTGTAGATGAAACATGTGGTCTCTGTGAAGAAACGACAGGTCGTCCTTTAGAACTCAACCGATCTCCCATATTTGGAGATGAAGCAGGTGCTCTCGATGTCGAAATAACTGGTAGCACTGAAGCAAGCGACCGGTTGCTTGTATCTGAAAATAACGACAGTGATTCTTATATGGATTAGCTCGATGCCGTACCCCTCTGCCATGCCAGTGCCCCAGTCCACTCGTGATAGTGCATCAAGTGAGGTAATTTCTGATGATATATCTATGTCAACTTGTCAATTACTGCCACGAACCACTCGTGGCAAACCCAAAGTACAATATTCTCCTAATATACATGTCAAGTTTAAATATCTCATTAGTCATTATATGTCAACTCATCTTTTGTCTAAGTCATATGCATCATATTTGTGTCAATTATCTAGTATATGTGTGCTAACTAAGCTGCAAGATGCTCTTTGTGACACCAAATGGGTAGATGTTATGAATGTTGAAATGGAAGCTTTGGACAAGAATGAAACTTGGGATTTAGTCACTTTACTAAGAAGGAAGAAAGTTGTTGGGTGCAGATGGGTGTTTACTTTGAAACATAAAGCTACTGGTTTCATTAACCGTTATAAGGCTAGATTGGTAGCATAAGGTTATTCTCAAACTTATGGAGTTGATTATTTGGAGACCTTTACTCTATTAACAAAACTCAACACTGTACGTGTGCTCTTGTCCCTGGCTGCTAATCGTGACTAGCCTTGTTACAATTTGATGTAAAGAATGCGTTCCTACATTATGACCTCAAGGAAGAAGTATACGTGGATGTTCCTCCTGGTAAGCGGTCTCCAAGAGCATGGTTTGGGAGGTTTGTAATATCTATGAAGAAATTTGGGTATGTGCAGAGTAACTCAAATCATACTTTGTTTCTAAAGTGTCATAAAGGTAAATTGACAGCATTAATTATTTATGTTGATGATATGATTGTAACTAGAGATGATCAGGCATAAATGAAAAATCTTCATAAGTATATGGCTTCTGAGCTTAAGATGAAATCATTGGGTGATTTGAAGTACTTTCTTGGAATTGAAGTTGTCAAATCTAAACATGATATCTTTTTATCCCAAAGAAAATATGTTTTGGATTTACTTGCAGAAACTAAAATGTTGGATTGTGAACCAATTGATACCCTTAGTGAACATAATCATAAGTTGGGGTTGTATCCTAATTAAGCCCCGACTGATAAATAACGTTATCAATGACTTGTGGGGAAATTGATTTATTAGCTCATACACGTCCCAATATTTCATATGCAATGAGTGTAGGGAGTCAATTTATGCATTTTCCTAGTGAAGATCATATGGATGATGTGATGTGTATTTTGAGGTATGTGAAAGTAACTCCTAACAATGGGTTAATGTTTTTCAAGTATGGTCATACATATGTGAAAGGATATACAGATGCTAATTGGGTTGGTTCAGTCACTGATAGACGTTCTACGTCTGGGTATTTTACATTTATTTGTGGTAATCTTGTTACTTGGAGGAGTAAAAAGAAGGATATGCAGATGCTGATTGGGCTGGTTCAGTCACTGATAGACGTTCTACGTCTAGGTATTTTATATTTATTTGTGGTAATCTTGTTACTTGGAGGAGTAAAAAGAAAAAAGTGGTGTCTCGGTCTAGTGCCGAAGCCGAGTATCGTGGGATGGCTCAAGGTGTGTGCGAGTTACTACGGTTGAGGAGATTGTTGAGAGATCTTGGGTTTGAGCCCTAGAAACCAATGGATTTGTATTGTGATAACAAAGCTGCAATTGCAATTGCTTATTACCCTGTGCAACATGATCATACAAAGCATGTGGAGGTTTATCGACATTTTATTAAAGAAAAGGTGGATGTTGAGATTAGTTTTTTTTCCGTTTATATCATCTGAGCATCAACTGGCAGATGTATTTATGAAAGTTGTGTCTACTACTGTCTTTCTTAACTCGTCTAACAAGTTAGGTATGCGTGACATCTTTGCTCCTACTTGAGGCGGAGTGTTAGCGAGATCATAGCTTAATTAGGAGATTTATTTCCTAGTCTATTAGGACTCTATTTCTTTCCATTTTGTACAGATATTGTGTAATTAGGATTTTATTTAATTTCCTTGTATAACCATACTAAGATTACAACCTTATATTATAAATACATCCTTTTAGAGAATGAAATATATCCGAAAATATTCTACCCATATTGTTTAATTGTATTCACATGGTTGGATTGAAGTTTTTTATATAAATTCTAGCGAGAGTTAATTCTAAAAATCCAATATTAAAACACCATACACAGTCATAGGTGCCCTAAGCTCTTACAACTGTCCAAGTTAAGCCAAGTTCACTTTCAAATTTCCTCGTCCTTCAAATTTCCCTTGGAACTACCTTCAATGTCGAATCTTATCCTTCTATTGAAAAATAATGTCCATTTTTATTCTACACAGTTCAAGAAGAATCAAGAACACAAGGATGATTCTATAGTTATGGAGAACATACTATGTTGGCTAGACAAAGAGAATTGAAATTGCAAGAACTTTCTAGAAGCAAGAAAACTCATGTTGCTAGATTATGGCAGTGGAGCATGATGGCTAAACAATAGCCACAAAAAATATTATACAATATAGAATATTCTAGATGAAGCCACACCCTTATGGCTGGAGAAAAAAATGCCAAGTCGGTGGACCATGATGTCTGCAAAGAATGCCTATAAAAAGGCATGCAATGCAACAAAGCAAGGTGGAGTCTAACAAAAAGAACTCCCAAACTAATGGAGCCAAGAGCTATCCAAACAAAACTATGTTGAGGAGCCAATAAGCTCATCAATCTAAGTGTGAAGGGCCAAATAGCCCAAACTATTCTAAATCAAGTGTAAGCCAATAAGCTGAGAAGGAGGCCAATTAGCCTAGACCAAGCTATGTATTATTCTCCTCCAATATAATAAATCACTTTGTTCAACTATTGTCCTATTGTCTTAAATCCCTTCACACATAAACCAACAATGGTATCAGAGCATCACAAACACTCATCTCACCTACTATATTTCAACAAGTGGTATTAGAGCTGGTTTGATCACATTGGGCGTCAGAGCTGGTTCGATCGCATTGGGCGTCAAAGCTGATTTGATCGCTTTAGGTGTAAGGACCGACTCGAATCTCTATCAGAGCCATGTTCGATCAACTATGGGCGCATAGGCTGATTCTAAGGAAGCAAGGTACGTGTTATCAATACTCAATTCAAGGTTTCAAGAAATCTAAAAATTGGGAAGGAGATTGAGAAAAAGTTCTAGAGGAGGAGATAGTAAAAATAAAAGAGATGGGCATGAGAGGAAAAACTTTCCTCCATGTGGGGTGTGCAAAAAGTCAAGGCACCCGAAAAAAGAATAGAAAAAAGAATAAGAAGCCTGAATGTTGAAACTAAAAAACATTGGGCGTTAAGAAGAAAAAAAAAATATTGTCGGTGAAGAACTATCAAGGTAACTACAAATGAAGAAAGTGTCATACGAACAAGGAACTGCAACATCAACTAAATGTTCGTCAATGCTAGCTTCATGAGGTGCATGCTCGGAAAAACACAAATATACATTGAGGAGTGTTGAAAAATAATGTCCATTTGTGTTCTACACGGTTCTAGAAAAATCATGAATACAAGGACGATTCTAGAGTTGTGGAGAATTGAAGTTGGAAGAACTTTCTAGAAGCAAGAAAACTCATGTTGCTAGATTAAGGCAGTGGAGCATGATGGCTAAATAATAGCCACAAAAATAATATTATACAATATAGAATATTCTAGATGAAGACACACACTTGTGGCTAGGGAAAAAAGGCCCAAGTCGGTGGACCATGACGTTGGCAAAGAATGCCTATAAATAGGCATGCAATGCAACAAAGCAAGGTGGAGTCTAACAAAAAGGACTCCCAAACTAGTGGAGCCAAGAGCTACTCAAACAAAACTAAGTTGAGGAGCCAATAAGCTCACCAATCTAAGGCCCTGTTTGGGATTGTTTTTTTTGCCAAAAATCTGTTTAACTTTAAAGTTAAGCAGTTTAAAGTGTTTGGTCAACTATTGTTCTATTGTCCTAAACCCCTTCACACATAAACCAACAACGGTATCAGAGCATCACAAACACTAATCTCACCTACTATATTCCAACACCTTCCTTGTCTTCCCACACGTGACACATCCATCTTGACATTCTCATTTCTTCCACACTCATTTTATAAACATGTTGTTTTCTAAGTGCCATGTAGCATGGCTGGTCTACCAATTTATGCAGAGAATGCTTTGGAGATATGAGGGAAACCTTGGAAAAAGCTTAGGGATCATAAAAGTTAGGGAACATTTTAAGATACTTATAAAGAATGTACATTAATGCCTATTTCATGAATATAATTGTATGTCAAGCTCTATTATGAAAAGTCATGTCATAACGAATGCACTATGCTTTATCCAGTAATAGACAACATAAAACTCCTTACTAAATAACTAAAGACTAGACTTTGGAAGAGAAGCTTACACTTCTTTTTTCGTCCAAGTAGGCACGGGTCCAGTCAGCAAGTTTCCAGTTAAGAATCTAAACACAATTGGTACAGGAAAAACGGCATAAATTACTAGAAAGGGGTATAAACAAAAGCAATGAATTACTAGAATGCTAAGCATGATTAACACGACCAGCTTGTAGGGCAGGGGTGTGACAAAGCCATTGAAGAATAATGTCTGCTTGAGTTTTCTTGTAATAAAGTCAAGATTTGTTATTCAAATTGCTTACATATATTTCACTTCTGCTAGAGCAACAAAGCTGCTTGGAATTTCCCCGGTTAGCTTGTTAAAGCTGAGGTCTCTGCACAAACCAGTAACAAATGCATTTCAGATATGCTCCCCCCGAGAGAAACATTATTTAACTTAATAATAATAATAATAATAATAATAAAATCACTCCAGGATGCAGTAAGTGCAAAATCTATGCCAGGATATGCTTTTGTGTATGCCTACGTACATGTGTCTGATTGCGTTGATTACGTAAAAATAGGGCCCTCCAACATCGTCAAAGTCATTTAATAATCCTTGAGTTATTAGAATCGTATCTAGAAAGAAGATAATTTATTTATCTGAAGACAGAAATAATAAAAAAATAAAAAGGGACAAAGACATTTGTACTAACAAAGTTTTCAAATTCTTCATGTTCCGGAGATATGGAGGTAGCTGTCCAGTTATATTGCAACTCCTCAAAATCCTGTAACAGGGACACTAACATTTTGAGTTTGCAAAAGACTTCAGGTACAGACAGAAATTGTGATTCATGGAAGCATTAACTCACAGTGTCTTCATGCCTTTCATATTCTCAAGTGGAGGAAAGTGTGCTTCAGGCTGACTCAAGTCAGTAATTCTCCTGCATGTTAAAATCGAGCAATGAACTTAGATTACAGAATTGCTAATTTGTTTTGTATTTATAAATAGATACAAAATCAAAATCCATACTAACAAGTCAGTTAATTTTGTTAAAAGAGAAATGCCGGAAGGAATTGGCCCCGTCAAACCACTAGCCTGAATCACTCTGTTTTAACAAGTCATAACATTTGAATTAGTGATAATATTTAGAATCAAGTAGCAGCAAAGATAACAACAACAACAACAACAAAAACTCACAGTTTGTCAAGATTTGTCCAGTTCTTTATAAAATCAGGTATCTGCCCAGAAAAGTGACTGTCACCCACCCGGCTGCATAATGATTGGCAAAAGGAAAATAGTACCAATTAACACTATAATGCGGTATTTGGGTGCTTTTAGGAAACCTTTAAGAAAAAAGTACAGAAGCTTACAAGTCTTTTAGTGTGATAAGATTTCCAAATGTATCTGGCAACTCCCCAGTAAAATTATTTGAGTTAAGAAGCCTAACCATGAAGGAGACATAACAATTATATTAAAGATACAGAAGTAGATGATTGCTGATGAAAATATCCAGCATCTGTCTATCAGGATAAAACTCGAAATAGGACAATCTTACATGCTTTCTATGAGGGTCAAATTCCCAAGCTCCCGAGGGAGCTCGCCAGAGAAATTATTCATACTGATGTCCCTACACAAAGAAAATTCAATTCCATTGATTAAAAAAGATCATTCCATAAAATCAA